TGTAATCTAAGGGTCCGTATAACCCCTGATATAGCTGTTGTCGTTTCGGTCAATTTCAAGATAACTAAAAAAATATTTTTTGATAAATAACAGCCGAAACCAAAAGTTTGCGAGCTGAGTTCACTTCAATGAATGGAAGAAGCTTTAATTGCATCATTACCAAATGCAACAGCTTGAGATGTTCATCCGAATTGGTTTTGATCACATTTGTTACGTTATTTGTCTTTGCTTTTATGTCATTTTAAAAACATTTTACGAGCATTTTATTAATCATTTTTGGCGAATTTTTACCCCCATTAAAATCCGCCCTATTCGTTATAATACGAAATTGTCGAATTGTCATACGAGACTTTTCAACCTCAGTTGATAACCGACTTCACCAGCTAGGCCAGCTTTGCAGGCCTCGGCCCTATTTTATTTATCATCCAAGGGAGTTACGTGGCGAGAATGTCTTCCCATTACCGTATGTAGCTTACATGGCCAGCCTGAGGAGGAAAATATTAATTAATATTTTTAATCTTAAAACTTGAGAATACGAAGTGAATGAAAAACATGCGCTTATAGAATTCTTTGACCAGCTTAAATGGCTCTAGGCAATTACTATTGTCATGGCAATGACAACACTAATTGCTTAGGAGATTAGAGGATTTGAGTCCCGACGGTGGCGGGTTTTCAACACTAGCTAGATAGCTAGATCAAATTGTGCCTCTGTCTGTAGAAGAATTCTAGAAACCGGCTGCTTTGATCGGTATTTTCCCGTGGTTTCTCCGTCTTTCCTTCTTCATTTTTGATCCTTCCCCTACTCTGACACTCACACATACAAATATGCACTACACTATCATACCTATCGGATGATTAGTGTCCAGTGGAGATAGCTTGATGTGGAAACCCCCACAGGCCGACGTGTAAGTCAGAATCGAATCCCACGTTATAGTGGCCGAGGAGCACCGTCAGCTCCCAGGATAAATCATGAACTGCACTTGCGAAACTAATGACCATAGCAGTTGTTGCTCCTGTAAACACAAAATAACCAGACTTCTGTGTGTCCAGGAGTATTAGGACGAAAATAAAATAAAACGTTTTTAACATTTTGTACAGAATCTCGATTATTTAGGTTAATAGACTACTTACTAAAATGACTACTTACTACAATACTTACTAAAATATTTCGTTAAAAAAAATGTAAAAGTCCAAGTATCAAATCAACAATAATTTATTGTAACAATGATTATGTTTTACAGATATCTTAACATACATTAAGCTTTCCATTGCCTTAAAACGTTCAAAATATCGAATTTCAATGCTAATTGTCATTTCCTGGTGCTTAATATAATCTGATCATTAAAGTAGGAAGACATTAAACTAGCGGGAATGTGACGTTTGTTCTGAATAGGAGGACAGTCACATTCCTTTCGAGACTAAATGCTTCTGGATTCTCCACAATTAATGCATCAGAGGTCTATTGATTGTATAATGTCGGAGACAAACAGGTCTTTGATCGCGACATTCTTCCGAAGTCTTCAGAGTTGTGTAGGAGAGAGGAGGGATAGAAAGAGATAAAACAGATTGCAAACCTCTTTTAACATCATTGACTTGAAAAATCATCTCTTCTCTCATTTACGTGTCATGTCAGTGTTTCTCGGTCATTAGTCCATGGTCAATCGATAGTTTCAGTGGCTTCACTTGCAACTATCAACTAGTTGAAATATTATTAAGTTTAATGGAAGTCTGAATACGTTTTAAAAAGTTCCTAAATGGCCCTTTGAGTGAAGAAGGTACAGATACCCTGTGTTTGATTAGAAATATTCTTTTATCCTATGTCATAATGGGATACTTAATGATACTAGTACATTTTTGCAAAAGTCCAAGTATCAAGATCAATTATTAGTATCAAGATAGATGCTGGCTTTGTCATTGAATATCTCTTCCCCAATGACGCCATTGTCACTGCCGCATCTATTACGACATTGTTGCCGTCTCTTATGCTGCCATCTCCAACGTTTGCAAGCGCAAGCCTGTTAATTTTGTGAGGTAATTTACATGGTAATTACAATACACCTCTGGGACTTTTCAAAAGTTTCAAAAATGGCTCCATCGTTTGATAAAAATTCTAATTTTTGGAAAGTTGCAAAAGTTCAATTTTTCCTTAGTCATTGATCAACTAAAATATTAAAGATAGAGAATGTTTCTCATAATAAAATCTGTTCCTTAAAGATAGATTTTGAAATAAGGTCATGTACAATTTTTCGAAAATTTGAGTACTTTTCGTGTAATTTTGTGTGAAAATACAGGCGAGAAAGTGCGTGCTCTTTTAGCGCCACTAGCGCCACCTTCCCTTGGCTTGAAAGCAGTTGACTACAACAGCGCTTCAAGCAGCAAAAGCTACTACTTCCCTTCCACCTGCCAAGTCTCTCTGACTTCGACTCTCGTTTGTTACGTACCTGTAGACAGTTCCGGATGCACCTTGAATACTTCAAATGTTCGCTCCTTCTTTCCCTTGAACTAGAAAGCATTGCAGCAGTTCAAAATCTTTCCACGCGTTACTATGAAAAATTGTTTCAATTCTTTGTTGTTATTCATTTTGTTATTCGCGGTGTATTGTTTTTGTTCCTCTTTAAAAAAAATATATTTTAAAAATTGTTCATTTCTTTTTGCAAATCGAAGATTGATTCCTGTGTGAAGAAGTGTTCCCAAAAAGTTCCCTCTGGGACTATGTTTTAATAAATATTAGAAGTATAATTTGTGTTGTTTAAGAATGAACAACAATTTTTATGGGTTAATAATTATATTTAAAGGACGTTGTAAAAGTTTCAAACCTTACATCAAATGACCATAGAGAGCGTTTTCCAAAGTCCCATCGCTCGTATTCGTTAGCGACATTATTACAACTACATCAGTCCCAGGAACACTTCGCAGAACGTTTAGTACATTATGTGTATTTCTTTATATTTCCTCTGTTCTGACAATATAATATAACTTGCACTTCTTATTATCAATTTAACCAATGTAAAGCAGCCGTACTTACATCACTGAAGGTATTTAATTTAAATCCTCTACTTTGTGTACTTCAAAACATTAATTCTCTAGGGAATTCATATATTTTGGTTCATTTGAGATGGTGCTATCATTAGAAAAATTAACGCAACTACATGCTTAGCAAGATAACATTTTTAAATACCAATTTATTTAGCAACAGCTCTAATTGATTCTCCTTTATCAAAAACACTATTGTTTTATTTCCCTTCAGTCTTTTCTCAACCTTTAGTTATCGTTTCGAAATTCTTGGCATAATGTACATCTGGCAACCATATAAGATGAAAATATTAATTTAAAATTATTTTCCGTAAGCCTTAAATTGGTCATCAAATGTTTTAATGCTGCGTGTGTGGGAGCTGTATAGTTACCTGATTGTTATCCATCATTTATTACCAATGTACCTATTACCAATTTACGTTATAATTATAAAAAATACCTTTACCAATTTGGATTCTAGACTTCATTAATAAATTATATATATATACCTAAATAAATATAACACACAGGACACCCTATGCTATATAACTACGGGAAGAAGTAGACATAAATAATAGCACACCACTGTAAATTAATGCTTGTTTTCCTTTCCTGCCGTTCTTCAAAGTTGTCCTATCTTCCTCAGTTCATTATTAATCATCCACTTAAACTTTTAGATTGACCATAAACATTTCAAAAGCAATAATACAGATTGTCCAAAAATTAGTCTTTGTCTTTACATTATTTATTGGTTATTCGATGAGAGAATCCTGTTTTGCTCTTTTGAGCGCCCAATTACAAAATGAGAAAGATCCATGACTCGTTCCTACTTCGACCGTGAACTGTGCAATCAACGCTTGAGTTCGCTTCTGAATCAACACATAAATTTTTTCGCTTCGTCACCTGCATACTTTTAGTATGCTTCCAGTGAATCGTTATCTTTCTGGATGATCACACACACACACAACACACACACAAACCAACTGATTATTTATCGTTAGCGAAAATGCGATCACTATACATCTTCACAATGATCGTTAGTTAAAAAATTAAAAGTTGTACTGTTTTCGAACAGCTGACTATCATAGCACCCAATTCTTTTGTCGATTTTTTTCGAAAAACTAATCATATATGTGTTAATGACAAAATGTGACATTGTTCGAATTTAAGAAAGAGCAAGAGGATTGCTTTGGGCATATCTCCAACTTATCGCGTGCTTGGTGCCGTTGGCTCGAGAAACTCGGCATCATGTAACATCTTGAAAGTATGCGACTTCGAAGAATCAGGAGGCGTCTTTTCTATTCCGTTGCTCAATTCTCATTCTGAAGTGCACGGAAAACCGCGGACCGTTCCGTGACCTTCAGACATTCTCCAAACCCTTCCATAGACCACATGCTGAGCGAATCCAGTACCTTCACGAATTTAGTTTCTCGCCGGATATTTCTTCAGAGATAAGGAACTACTAATGCGTCGTGAATTGTGGAAAATCGTCTCTTAGTTTCAGATATTTTCATATGACCTTGTAAAATTCAGAAAAGAATTTGAATGGTCTTACTCTTTTGAGAAATTATAAATAAAAAATAACTCTCAAAATGTCCCAAAAAACAATGGATAGACACACTCTCCACCCAGTTCTATACTAACCTACCATCCTGCTCTGCAAACCGAAAGTTGATTCCAAAGTCTTACTTCGACCTCCGTAAATGAACAGAAAAGAATGCAGTTAATTACAAGAACTTAGAACAAAATTCGAGTAGCTAGAGAAGCTTTCCTGAACCATCCTCTGTAATTAATTAGTATTTAATTGTAAGTTACAAATATGTAAAAAATGCCGTATGTTACCAACTTTGTATGCAAACATTATGTATAATTCAAAACCTTAAAAGGCCGAACAAGGATTAATAAATTTTAAAAATTATAAACAGTACAACTTATTCTTCTTTCAAATTTTGTATTTAACGTATGTAATATACATATTCATGTTTAGGATGGTTCTTGCGAATTCTGGGACTCTACTTCAACAAATAGGTAATATCTTGGAGTATAATTTTAATATAGTATAAATGAATTCCAATGTTATTATGATGTTTTTTCTGTTGCATATTTTTACGGATACCATTTTTGTTTCAAAATAATTAGAACAAACGCAATGTAACTTTCTTAACAAATGGCAGTGGTCGTTGACACTATGAGCAAGGCAATGTACTACAAAATAATGACGTTTGAAAATATTCGAATTTAGTTTCAAATAACCCCTTGTTTGAATGTCGAATATTATGTTGTATAGTATTATAAAAATACATTCCGTTTTTTTTATTAAGATCTATTTCAACCAATCTATATGTCTTCATGCGAATTCAACCGTCAAACTTCTAAAAAACCAATAACTTAGGTATTTGTTCAAATTTTCATGTGACTCATTCTCGTAAATTGTATTTTACTTTCGATGATTGTAAAACGAGATTTCTCCTCGTAACATCCTTTACCGAAAAAATTATGTTTTTTTAATTTAAAAATTATATGATATTGTACCATAGGTCATCTTATTAATTCGTTATTGGCGCGTCTACTGCTCCTATGTCCACGTCGCCTTCAACCTTTCGGCTTCTACGAAGGTGCCGGGTGCGGGGCGTGGGGTAGAGGTGTGGAGAGTGCATCTGCTGGCTGCACGCGTGCCTTCCCTGGCGTCTCGCTGGTAATTCCCCGCCTCTCTCAGCGTTCGGCTCGGCTCGGCTCGGCGCGCGGCCAAGAGCAGGAAAGCGCGCGGCGCGCGCGGGCGCGTGGGGCGGTGGAAGGCTGGGGGGAGGGGTGGGTGTCGCAGGGCGCGCGCAGGGTGGCCGCGCCGCGAGGTGGCGGTGGTGGCGGCGGCGCCGCCGGGGGAGGGGCAGATGTGGGTCAGCGCAGCGGGGAGAGGGAGGGTGGCGCCGGAGCGGAGCGGGGCGGGGCGGGGCGGGGCGGGGCGGGGCGGGGCTGCGCGCCGCGCGGGGGGAGTCGCATAAAGGCGGGGACGCGGCCGTTGGCGCGCCTTTCGCCGGCGTCCAGCCGATCGCGCTCCACGCTTTGCTCTCCGCAGTCGCCGACGCCGCACCCGCCGCCGCCGCCGTTGCTGCTGCTGCTGCCGCGAACGCCCATCCCGGCCCCGCCGCGCAGGACCGCACTTCGCCCCAGCCGCCGCCCACCCACGCCAGACATGACGCGCGCCGCCCTCAGGTAGGTGATCGCTCGCCCCTACCCCATGCGCGAGCACGCACGCACCCGCGTGTGCATGGGACCATCCCTTGCAAGGCGAGCGCACGAGAGAAGAAGTCATTTCTTGGCACCATCGGGTGCCAGGGGATTCTACCTTTGTAACTACGCACGCACGCGCGTGTGTATGGGACCATCCCTTGCAAGGCAAGCCCACGAGTGGAGCGGAGCCATTTCTTGGCACCATCGGGTGCCATGCGATACTACCGTTGAAACTACGCACGCGCGTGCGTGTGTATGGGACCACCTCTTGCAAGGCAAGCCCACGAGAGGAGCGGAGCCATTTCTGGGCACCATCGGGCTTTGAAACTACGTTCAGTAATGTGCACGGCAATTTGCAAAGAATGTAAAATTATTGAAGGGCCGGTTGTAGTAAAATATGGTCAAATGACTCAAATGTAAGGAAGTAAAAAGCGATTTTGAGGGGAAGGAGGAATGTCATTGCTAGTTTCAGTCCACCCCGTCCAGGTGGAAGGCAGACTTTTTAGATTATTTTCCTCGCGTAGTCTTTTTTTCTTTTCTTTAGTGTCTTGATAATGTTAGGCTATGTCACATATATTCGGACTTTTATGCAAGGTGTGATTCATCAGCGTAGTTGAAACAGTGCTGCTGCATTGGGTACTTTAGAGATTTTGGAGAGTGGATTACGGAGAGATGTTAGTATCCATTCATACTGGGAGTTGGAAGGTTTCAATGACTGGAAATCACTTACCAACTGACTGTTTGATGACGAATCTACTACTTGTCTAGAAGTGTCAGTGACGTGAAGAAGCTTTATTAACATAAAGTTAGATGTTATGTTTTTTGAACCTTATTAGTGATTTTTGTTACAAGTTTTTCAAGAAAACCGTTTAGTGTGGTACAGAAACTTATTACTTTTTCTTGAATTGAATGGAACTATTTGAGTTTAAATGATAATGAAACACATGTATGATTATTTCTACACGTGGTGTGATTATAAAATGTCTAATTCGTAACTATAAAAAAATCTTTGGTGATTACTAATTAAATATCTCGTGAGTTTGGAAGTTAAAACAGGGTTAATAAAAAGAAACGAACTGTCATGTTTGTCAAGAAACGGAACTAACTTTCAAGTACATAGCTGGATTTTTCTGCATTGCTGGAAAGCTTTTTTGTACCTCAAAGCTTAATTGCATTTTGAGTCTTCATTAATCATTTCAAAATCAGACAAGGTTATTCAAAATTATTATGTCATTATTAATAATATGTGTCACTTCTGACAAAGGCAAGAAATATTTGGCCTTGGAGAACCTTGGGGGACAATGCTTTTGAAATGATATAATACCACGTACTTAGAATCTACAAAGACTGAAGTATTCGTGAAGCGGGATCAGCTCATTAAGAAAATAATCTTCTGTGTACTATTGTGTAGACTACTACTATTATGTAGAAATTGTTGGGTTAGCTCCGTATTGGCATGACATTTTCTATGCGTTAATGACAACGTTTGAAATGCATTTTTCCAAAAACTGAGAGACCATCATAGTTAATCGGCCTGAAATTGCAGTTTTCCATCCTGAAGTACACTTTATTGACGAAGACTAGCAACTATTCATTACACACGAGAGTTTGATTTAATGTGTGAGGTTAATAAAAGATACGGTAAAGACGAATTTATATCACTAAATATATAAAAGACAATGGAATATTTATTCCATGAATATTCATGAATCAGAAGTTACTAGTAATATTTAGTAACGTGGTTACTTTCTAGAGACGGGAATCGAAAAAAAATGTTCACAAATCCAGTATAAAGGAAACAAGAAAAAAAATATTCTTCTTTGTTGATTTGAAATATCTAAAGTTAACATCCTGACAAGAGACTTTTGAATGGGGCTGCCTGTGGTACATCGAATTCATGAAGAGTTAAGCAACACGTTTTAAATTGTCAAATTGCATAAACATTATTTCGCGAAGAGTAGACACTATCGACGAGAAAGGTGGATGAATAAAACATTGATTTAGCTAATGTTCTGCACAGTGTATTTATTACTACGAATTTTTTCTGTTTATTTGAAAGTTTACGTTTTCAGTGATGACAATGTTCTTTCTAAATTAAAAAACTTCAATATTGTACAAATAACATTTTTAAATTCATTTTAAACTGTGTGACATCAGTTGTGACTTTGTAATATCACTACAGGCCAATATCCTATTTGTCCCTGACACAGTAATACACAGTAGTGACACACTTTAGTATTCTGTAAAATTGAGATATTTGACAGATCTATTTCAATTTTATATCCCAAATTCGACTGTGGACGTTCTATTTATCAAAATAGTTAATAAGTTGACCTTTGTGAAAATGCAGGTCTAGGTTGACTATGGACGCTGCCTTCAGACTTCGTCCTTGTCGTTGGCGGTTGTTAATTGGTGTAATCTGGAGGCGAAACAATCTAATGCAAACGTCATAGCATTATCTGAAGAGAAAATTCCCGCTGTTAAGAAAAAGCTCAGAAAATACTGTGATTAGTGAATTCTTACTATTAGTCAAAATTTTCCAATAGGACGGTTGTTTGCCAGAAACCACATTGTTACAACTTTTAAAGGAGAAGAAAACAAATAGGGAATGTTGGGTCTATCGCTATGTTTCTGTAGAGAAAAAAGTAATGTATATTTACATTTTATTTTAAAATTTATTGTAATCCATAATGCATAATATCATGCATTTACACAAAGTATTTGTTTAATTATGACATCACTTTCCCTCATAGTCTAAGATTTAAAATAGGATTGAAATTATGTAAAAAGCATAACAAATAAACTGGTGTGGATGATCGAAGATGTTGGAATGTGCGTTTTACTTTACATCATGTGCAATTACATTTATGTAATCCCTGTGGAAACTGTGAAAGTGGGCAGTACAGTGTTGATGACTCGAAATCCACGCATTCAGCATTTTCTTATTGGAGGCATTGGATAGCACGTTGATGAGAATAAGTTTTATGAACTACTATTTTAACTCAAGATAAACGATTTTAACACTCGAGTTTGTTCTTTGGAAGACTGAGTATTTCAGTAGATTCAACAGAAATATTGAAACTACATGTTAATCACTGCAGTAAGTGTTTTGGGCTAAAACTGCATCCAAATTTCATTACTCCACTACTCTTACAGGATATATAAAACGTAACATTCACACTGAAAGTAGAGAATACATAGATAAGTATTTAATTTGAGAAGGAGAAAGTAAAGTTCTATGTAATTAAAGAAGTTGTACAGAAATGAGACTTTCTCTATTTCATTTCATCCCGGTCGGAGTTGATTTTCAGAGAACCCATTTAATTGACGACGTAATCACCAGCTTTTACAAACAAGTATGTCAATAAAGGTAATTAAAACTTAAATTTACGTCTCATACTCTCGTGCTCTCGGTTTGTAGTGAAGGTGTAAGCTCTTGTTGCTAATGATTTAGAATTTATCATGTGTATTTGACATTGCCAAATAAAAAAATGCGTAAAAGCAGAAGGCAGATATACTAAGATGAAAAACAAGTATTTTAAAAAAGGACTAGAAGGTGAAAAGACCACGCAGTCATTGAAGGAATAACTTATAACTTATGCACACGTTTCTTGCACGCGGATTTCCGCACAAAATGACGCAGAAACGAAAGAGACTTCCCAACTTTCTTGCGTGAAAATATTCCGCGTTTCCCTGAAAACATTGGGTCTAGTGCAGAGGCGTTGCTGAGGTGGCAAAACGCGAGACGGATGGAAGTTCCGAGTGGCAAGTTGTTAAAGACGACTCTTAAAAAAAAGTCAAAATTAAAAAAAAACGAAAAATGCTAAGCCGTCTATAGCTATCTGCTATAGCTCAAACATTCCACTTTATCGTCCTTTCTGTCTCTACGCACGGTTTGTTTTCCTTTTGCTCTTTCAGCTTTTTCCTTCATTTTTTGGTCCTGGCAGCACCTCTAACGTGTCCGGGCTGGCTCAGGCCGATGAGTGGAGATATCCTCTTTCACGCGCTGCGACCGCAAAATCTAATGATGAAACGAAGCTCTCACGCCAGTCCAAGCGAGACCGCCTTTCCGAGCGTGCTCGTGCGAGAGAGAGAACGATAACGTATTGTACGCTTGGATTGTTTCTTTACAATCTTGGGTCTTATTTGAAATTTGTTACGTAATATTTACGCAGCGCAAAGCGATATTTTAACCGGAGAACCAAAGAGAGAAAACGTATTTTAGTGCCGAGTTTAATTAGAACTACTGACTACGTATTGCATGTTTCTAGGTTTATATCCCAAACGTATTTACAGAACCATTGCCGTTTTATTTCTCCATAGTTGGAGAAATGATGGTTCCTAATTATCATCAATTTTCAGTCCAGCTGCATACGCCTAGTGTTTGCATTCTTTGTTGGTTCCCGTGCATACGTGACTTCTCACATACACTGAGCTTTCTGTCAGATATAAATATATTCATCGTTAAATGTGAGAATTCATACCCTACAAGGATATAAATTCTTGTTATTAAATAAAACAAATTGTACTGCTCCGCGCTGTGATGTCTTTCTATTTTTGCAAGAATTTTGCGCAGCCTGAATATAAAACTTTATTTTCAGCAATGTAAACTTGACTTGCTACTGAATAACAAACATTAGGTAGAGTATTTATTTTATTATGACAACGGAGAAAAATAATACATAAAATGAAACTAAAAACACATGAAGTTGAAAATAAATACGAAAGAGTAATGGGAATATGTGGCATACTGAATTTTTTTCCTTCTGAGTATTATGGAGTATTTTAATACTTTGGATATTGCATAACATAGTTGGGATATTGTAATGAATATACCGGTGATGACTACTCTTCACACTATAGGAAAGTAGACTGAATGTATTGCCTTCCGCGTTCTCATACGTGAACAAGTAGAGTTGCACTCACTAAAACGATTGTTTAGGATTCTGTCAACAGTATTTTACATGCTTAGTTCATGTTTC